GGGGGTCAGGGGTCTCCTGCACAGAGGCGGTCTGTACGAGGAGATACCCTGCTCTACTGGTACACACGGGGGCACGGACACAGGGGGCACCCACGAGGGGATTTGGGGGCGTGGAGGGGAATTTGGGGGTGGGAGGGGGTGAAAAGCTTCCCCCTGGACCCCACCCTGCTGGTCTGGACACGGGTGGGGACCCCACGAGGGGTCAGTGGGACACAGGGGGACAAAGGGGGACACGGGGGTCGTGGGGACACGAGGGGACACGGAGGCACAGGGGGATACAGGGGTCAGTGGGACACAGGGGGACACTGGGGGACGTGGGGGTCATGGGGACACGGAGGGGACACGGGGGGACACGGGGGTCATGGGGACACGGGGGACACGGGGGTCAGGGACACGAGAGGAACACAGGGGGGACACGGGGGGACACGGGAGGTCGTGGGGTCATGGGGGACACGGGGGACACGGGGGGGACACGGGGGGTCGTGGGGACACGTGGGGGAGGCCTGACGGGGGATTTGGGGGCGTGGAGGGGCGTGGTGGGCACGGGAGGGGAATTTTGGGGGGTGGGAGGGGTGAAAGGGCTTTTGTGCCCCCCGGACACGAGTGGGGACTCCCACGGGGGGAATTTTGGGGTGATTTTGGGGCTATTTGAGGTGATTTTGGGCCCGTTTTCTTGGGGTGATTTTTGGGATGATTTTGGGATGATTTTGGGGTGATTTTGAGGTGATTTTGGGCCCATTTTCTCAGGGTGAATTTGGGGTGATTTTGGGATGATTTTGGGGTGGTTTTGGGTGATTTTGAGGCAATTTGGGGTGATTTTGGACCCGTTTTCTCGGGGTGATTTTGGGATGATTTTGGGGCAGTTTTGGGTGATTTTGGACCCATTTTCTTGGGGTGATTTTGGGGTTATTTTGGGGTATATTTTGGGGTGAATTTGAGGTGATTTTGGACCCGTTTTCTCCGGGTGAGTTTGGGGTATATTTTGGGGCAATTTGGGGTGATTTTGGACCTGTTTTCTCGGGGTGGATTTGGGGTGATTTTGGGATGACTTTGGGGCGATTTGAGGTGATTTTGAATCCGTTTTCTCAGGGTGATTTTGTGGTGATTTGGGGTGATTTTGGACCCATTTTCTCGTGGTGAATTTGGGGTGATTTGGGGTGATTTGGGGATGATTTTGAGGTGATTTGAGGTGATTTTGGACCCATTTTCTCAGGGTGGATTTGGGGTGATTTTGGGGTGGATTTTGGGGAGATTTTGGGTGATTTTGGACCCATTTTCTCAGGGTGAATTTGGGGTGATTTTGAGGTGATTTGAGGTGATTTTGGACCAGTTTTCTCAGGGTGAATTTGGGGTGATTTTGGGATGATTTTGGGGTGATTTTGGGGTGATTTTGGGTGATTTTGGACCCATTTTCTCAGGGTGAATTTGGGGTGGATTTTGGGGTGATTTGAGGTGATTTTGGGCCCGTTTTCTCGGGGTGAATTTGGGGTGATTTGGGGATGATTTTGGGATGATCTTGGGGAGATTTTATGGTGGTCTGGAGTGATTTTGAGCCCGTTTTCTCAGGGTGATTTTGGTGTGGATTTTGGGGAGATTTGGGGTGATTTGGGGCCCGTTTTCTCAGAGTGACTTTGGGGTGAATTTGGGGTGATTTTGGGGTGAGTTTGGGGTGATTTTGGGGGTGAATTTGGAGTAATTTGCGGGTGATATTGGGGCGATTTTGGACCCATTTTCTCGGGGTGAATTTGGGGGGATTTTGAGGCGATTTTGGGACTGATTTTGGGCTGTGGGGTGGGGGGTGGGGTGGGCAGATCTGGGCGTGTCCCCAAATTTCCAGGACCAGCAGGACCGACCCCATCCCGGGGGTGCTTTGAGGGCTCCTGGGGGGGGTCCTGTGGGGTGTCAGGAGTGGGTGCCCACCCTGTACCCCCCTCCCCTCCCCCCCAAAACAGGCCCTGCTGGACCTGGGGGGGTCCCCCAACTACAAGGACCGGCGGGGTCTGACCCCCTGTACCACACGGCCATGGTGGGGGGGGACCCGCGGTGCTGCGAGCTCCTGCTCTACAACCGAGCCCACATCGGCACTGCTGATGAGAATGGATGGCAGGAGATACACCAGGTGTGTGTGACATCATCATCCTGTCCCTGTGTCACCTCCCTATCCCATCACCCCATCCCCCATCCCCATCCCCATCCCCCTGCGAGCTCCTGCTCTACAACAGAGCCCACATCGGCACTGCTGATGAGAATGGATGGCAGGAGATACACCAGGTGTGTGTGACATCATCATCCTGTCCCTGTGTCACCTCCCTGTGTCACCCCATCATCCCATCCCATCATCCCACCCCCATCCCCCTGCGAGCTCCTGCTCTACAACAGAGCCCACATCGGCACTGCTGATGAGAATGGATGGCAGGAGATACACCAGGTGTGTGTGACATCATTATCCTGTCACCCTGTCACTGTGTCACCTCATCACCCTGTCCCCATAACCATCCCCATCCCCCTGCGAGCTCCTGCTCTACAACAGAGCCCACATTGGCACTGCTGATGAGAATGGATGGCAGGAGATACACCAGGTGTGTGACACTGTGTGTGACATCATCACTGTGTCACCCTGTCCCTGTGTCACCTCCCCATCCCATCATCCCACCCCATCCCCATCCCCATCCCATCACCCTGTGAGCTCCTGCTCTACAACAGAGCCCACATCGGGACAGCTGATGAGAATGGATGGCAGGAGATACACCAGGTGTGTGTGACATCATCATCCTGTCACCCTGTCCCTGTGTCACCTCCCTGTCACTGTGTCACCCCATCATCCCACCCCCATAACCATCCCCATCCCCCTGCGAGCTCCTGCTCTACAACAGAGCCCACATCGGAACAGCTGATGAGAATGGATGGCAGGAGATACACCAGGTGTGTGTGACATCATCACTGTGTCACCCTGTCACTGTGTCACCTCCCCATCCCATCCCATCCCACCCCCATCCCCCTGCGAGCTCCTGCTCTACAACCGAGCCCACATTGGAACAGCTGATGAGAATGGATGGCAGGAGATACACCAGGTGTGTGACATTGTGTGTGACATCATTGTACTGTCCCTGTGTCACCTCCCCATCCCATCCCACCCCATCCCCCTGCGAGCTCCTGCTCTACAACCGAGCCCACATTGGAACAGCTGATGAGAATGGATGGCAGGAGATACACCAGGTGTGTGACACTGTGTGTGACATCATCATCCTGTCACTGTGTCACCTCCCTGTCACTGTGTCACCTCATCATCCCACCCCATCCCCCTGCGAGCTCCTGCTCTACAACAGAGCCCACATTGGAACTGCTGACGAGAATGGATGGCAGGAGATACACCAGGTGTGTGACACTGTGTGTGACATCATCACTGTGTCACCCTGTCACTGTGTCACCTCATCACCCTGTCCCCCTGTGACCCCATCCCCCCCTATCCCCATCCCCCTGCGAGCTCCTGCTCTACAACAGAGCCCACATCGGCACTGCTGATGAGAATGGATGGCAGGAGATACACCAGGTGTGTGTGACATCATCACTGTGTCACCCTGTCCCTGTGTCACCCCATCATCCCACCCCCATCACCATCCCCATCCCCCTGCGAGCTCCTGCTCTACAACCGAGCCCACATTGGAACAGCTGATGAGAATGGATGGCAGGAGATACACCAGGTGTGTGTGACATTGTGTGTGACATCATCACTGTGTCACCCTGTCCCTGTGTCACCTCATCACCCTGTCCCCTCATGACCTCATCCCACCCCATCCCCATCCCCCTGCGAGCTCCTGCTCTACAACCGAGCCCACATCGGCACTGCTGATGAGAATGGATGGCAGGAGATACACCAGGTGTGTGTGACACTGTGTGTGACATCATCATCCTGTCACCCTGTCACTGTGTCACCCTGTCACTGTGTCACCCCATCATCCCATCATCCCATCCCACCCCCTCACCCTGCGAGCTCCTGCTCTACAACAGAGCCCACATCGGCACAGCTGATGAGAATGGATGGCAGGAGATACACCAGGTGTGTGTGACACTGTGTGTGACATCATCATCCTGTCACTGTGTCACCCTGTCCCTGTGTCACCCCATCATCCCATCCAACCCCATCCCCCTGCGAGCTCCTGCTCCACAACCGAGCCCACATCGGCACTGCTGATGAGAATGGATGGCAGGAGATACACCAGGTGTGTGTGACACTGTGTGTGACATCATCATCCTGTCACCCTGTCCCTGTGTCACCCCATCATCCCATCCCATCCCACCCCATCCCCATCACCCTGCGAGCTCCTGCTCTACAACAGAGCCCACATTGGAACAGTTGACAAGAACAGGTGGCAGGAGATACACCAGGTGACACTGTCACTGTCACTGTGTCCCCCTGTCCCTGCTGATGTCCCCCTGTCCCTGCTGATTGTCCTGGTGTCCCCAGGCGTGCCAGCACGGCCACTCCCAGCACCTGGAGCACCTCCTGTTCTATAGGGCTGTCCCCCTGTCCCTGTCCCTGTCCCCCTGTCCCTGCTGATGTCCCCCTGTCCCCAGGCGTGCCAGCACGGCCACTCCCAGCACCTGGAGCACCTCCTGTTCTACGGGGCTGTCCCTGTCCCCCTGTCCCTGTCCCTGTCCCCCTGTCCCTGTCCCTGTCCCCCTGTCCCTGTCCCCCTGTCCCTGCTGATGTCCCTGCTGATGTCCCCCTGTCCCCAGGCGTGCCAGCACGGCCACTCCCAGCACCTGGAGCACCTCCTGTTCTATGGGGCTGTCCCTGTCCCTGTCCCCCTGTCCCTGTCCCTGTCCCCCTGTCCCTGCTGATGTCCCTGCTGATGTCCCTGCTGATGTCCCGGTGTCCCCAGGCGTGCCAGCACGGCCACTCCCAGCACCTGGAGCACCTCCTGTTCTACGGGGCCGAGGCGGCCGCTCAGAACGCGTCGGGAAACACCGCCCTGCACATCTGTGCCCTCTACAACAAGGTGGGGACATCATTGGGGACAGTAATGACGTCACTGGGGACATTAATGACATCATTGGGGACACTCAGAAACACCGCCCTGCACATCTGTGCTCTGTACAACAAGGTGGGGACATCATTGGGGACATTAATGACGTCATTGGGGACACTGGGGACACTCAGAAACACCGCCCTGCACATCTGTGCTCTGTACAACAAGGTGGGGACAGTAATGACGTCATTGGGGACATTAATGACGTCATTGGGGACACTGGGGACACTCAGAAACACCGCCCTGCACAGCTGTGCCCTCTACAACAAGGTGACATTGGGGACATTAATGACGTCATTAATGACATCATTGGGGACACTCAGAAACACCGCCCTGCACATCTGTGCCCTCTACAACAAGGTGGGGACAGTAATGACGTCATTAATGACGTCATTGGGGACATTGGGGACACTCAGAGACACCGCCCTGCACATCTGTGCCCTCTACAACAAGGTGGGGACATTAATGACGTCATTAATGACGTCATTGGGGACACTCAGGACACCGCCCTGCACATCTGTGCCCTGTATAACAAGGTGGGGACAGTAATGACGTCATTAATGACGTCATTGGGGACACTGGGGACACTCAGAAACACCGCCCTGCACATCTGTGCTCTGTACAACAAGGTGGGGACAGTAATTATGTCATTAATGACGTCATTGGGGACACTGGGGACACTCAGAAACACCGCCCTGCACATCTGTGCCCTGTATAACAAGGTGGGGACAGTAATGACGTCATTAATGACGTCATTGGGGACACTGGGGACACTCAGAGACACCGCCCTGCACATCTGTGCCCTCTACAACAAGGTGGGGACATTAATGACGTCATTGGGGTCATTAATGACATCATTGGGGACACTCAGAAACACCGCCCTGCACATCTGTGCTCTGTACAACAAGGTGGGGACAGTAATGACGTCATTAATGATGTCATTGGGGACACTCAGAAACACCGCCCTGCACATCTGTGCTCTGTACAACAAGGTGACAATGGGGACAGTAATGACGTCATTGGGGACATTAATGACGTCATTGGGGACACTGGGGACACTCAGAGACACCGCCCTGCACATCTGTGCCCTCTACAACAAGGTGGGGACAGTAATGACGTCATTGGGGACATTAATGACGTCATTGGGGACATTGGGGACACTCAGAAACACCGCCCTGCACATCTGTGCCCTCTACAACAAGGTGACAGTGGGGACAGTAATGACATCATTAATGACGTCATTGGGGACACTGGGGACACTCAGAACGCATCAGGAAACACATTTGGGGCCACATTTGGGGATATTTGGGGACACAGTTTGGGGCATTTAAGGACACATTTAAGGTCACATTTGGGCACATTTGGTGCCATTTAAGGCCACATTTGGAGCCACATTTGGGGACATTTAAGGCCACATTTGGGGTCACATTTTGGGACACATTTGGGGACATTTAAGGACACATTCAGGACACATTTAAGGATACATTTGGGGCCATTTTGGGACACATTTGGGGACAATTTGGGGGCATTTAAGGACACATTTGGGGACAATTTGGGGCCACATTTGGGGCCATCTTTGGGGGCAATTTGGGGCCATTTAAGGACACATTTGGGACACATTTAAGGACATATTTGGGGGCATTTAAGGTCACATTTGGGGCTACATTTGGGGGATAATTTGGGGGCAATTTGGGGAAATTTTGGGCCACATTTGGGGACACATTTGGGGCCATTTAAGGACACGTTTAGGACACATTTGGGGCCACATTTGGGGACAATTTGGGGCCAATTTGGGGAAATTTGGGGCCACATTTGGGGCCATTTGGGGCCAATTTGGGGCCATTTGGGGCCGTTTTGGGGCCACATTTGGGGCCAATTTGGGGCCATTTGGGACCGTTTTGGGGACACTGGGGCCATCCCCCCCCCCAGGAGAGCTGTGCCCGGATCCTCCTGTACCGAGGGGCCAACAAGGAGGTGAAAAACAACAGCGGCCAGACCCCCTTCCAGGTGGGACTGGGGACACTGGGGACACCTGGGGACACCTGGGGACACTGGGGACACCTGGGGACATTGGGGACACTGGGGACATTGGGGACATTGGGGGGATTGGGAGGCGATATTTGGGGATTTAGGGGATTTGGGGACATTGAGGGGATTTGGGGACACAGAGCCCCTTCCAGGGTGGGACACTGGGGACATTGGGGACACCTGGGGACACTGGGGACACTGGGGACACTGGGGACACTGGGGACACCTGGGGACACTGGGGACACTGGGGACACTGGGGACACCTGGGGACATTGGGGACACTGGGGACACTGGGGACACCTGGGGACATTGGGGGATTGGGGATATTTGGGGATTTAGGGGGATTTTGGGGGGTTTAGGGGATTTGGGGGGATTTGGGGACACAGAGGCCCTTCCAGGTGGGACATTGGGGACATTGGGGACACCTGGGGACATCGAGGGGGATTGGGGGAGGTTTGGGGGGATATTTGGGGATATTTTGGGGATTTAGGGGTTTTTGGGGGATTTGGGGGGATTTGGGGGATTTGGGGACACAGAGCCCCTTCCAGGTGGGACATTAGGGGACACCTGGGAGGGAATTGGGGGAGGTTTGGGGGGGATTTGGGGCGTTTAGGGGACATTTGGGGGGGATTTGGGGACATTTGGGGGGATTTGGGGACACAGAGTCCCTTCCAGGTGGGACATTGGGGACATCGGGGAGGGGAATTGGGGAGGTTTAGGGGGATTTTGGGGGTTTGGGGACATTTGGGGGATTTGGGGACACAGAGCCCCTTCCAGGTGGGACATTGGGGACATCGGGGACACCTGGGGACATTGGAGGGGGTTGGGAGGGATTGGGGGCCTTGGGGGATATTTGGGGATTTAGGGGATTTTGGGGGTTTAGTGGGGATTTGGGGTGGATTTGGGGGTCAGAGGCCCTTCCAGGTGGGACATTGGGGACACCTGGGGACATCGAGGGGGATTGGGGGAGGTTTGGGGGGATTTGGGGATTTAGGGGGATTTAGGGGATTTGGGGGATTTGGGGACACAGAGCTCCTGCCAGGTGGGACAGGGGACACCTGGGGACATCTGGGAGGAGTTGGGGAGGTTTGGGGGATTTGGGGGATTTAAGGGGATTTGGGGGATTTTGGGGAGTTTAGGGGATTTGGGGGATTTGGGGACACAGAGGCCTCTTCCAGGTGAGACATTGGGGACATCGGGGGACACCTGGGAGGGAATTGGGGAGGTTTGGGGGATTTGGGGGAAGATTTGGGGGATTTGGGGGTTTAGGGGATTTAAGGGGATTTAGGGGATTTGGGGGATTTGGGGGGATTTGGGGACATGGACCTCCTTCGGGGGACATTGGGGACACTGGGGACACTTGAGGGACATCTGGGAGGACATTGGGGAGGTTTTGGGGGATTTGGGAGATTTAGGGGGATTTGGGGGATTTGGGGCATTTGGGGAGCACTTGAGGGGATTTGGGGCGCTTCAGAGGGACATTTGGGGACATTGAGGGGATTTGGGGACATTGGGGAGGATTTTGGGGGATTTTGGGGGATATTGGGGAGTTTGGGGATTTAGGGGATTTGGGGACATTGGGGGATTTGGGGGATTTGGGGACATTTGGGGAGATTTGGGGGATTTAGGGAGATTGGGGGATTGGGGGGATTTGGGGACAGTGAGGATTTGGGGCATTTAGGGGGATTTGTGGGACGATTTTGGGGACATTTGAGGGGATTTGGGGGATTTTGGGGGATTTGGGGACATTGGGGGAGATTTGGGGATTTAGAGAGGATTTTGGGGGGATTTGGGTGGATTTGGGGGATTTGGGGGAGATTTGGGGGATTTGGGGACATTGGGGGATTTGGGGGGATTTGGGGGGATTTGGGGATTTGGGGGAAATTTTGGGAGATTTGGGGAGGATTTTGGGGGATTTGGGGACATTGGGGGATTTAGGGGGACATTAGGGGATTTGGGGAGTCTGGGGATTTAGGATTTGGGGGATTTGGGGGAATTTGGGGACATTTTGGGGACTTTGGGGGATTTAGGGGGATTTTGGGGATTTGGGGACATTGGGGGATTTGGGGGATTTGGGAGGATTTGAGGACTTTGGGGGATTTTGGGAGATTTAGGGTGAATTTGGGAGGATTTGGGGACATTGGGGGAATTTGGGGGATTTGGGGACATTTTGGGGATTTGGGGGATTTTAGGGGTGTTTGAGGATTTGGGGGATTTAGGGTGATTTTGGGGGATTTGGGGATATTGGGGGATTTTGGGGGATTTGGGGGATTTGGGGGGATTTAGGGGACATTGGGGGTATTTGGGGGACATTGGGGAGATTTGGGAGGATTTTGGGGATTTCAGATTTGGGGATTTTGGGGGGACATTCTGAGGGGATTGAGGGATTTTGGGAGATTTTGGGGACATTGGGGGGGATTTGGGTGGATTTGGGGGAGATTTGGGGGGACATTTTGGGGATTTGGGGACATTGGGGGATTTGGGGGACATTGGGGAGGATTTGAGGGGATTTGGGGATATTTGGGGGATTTTGGGGATTTGGGGGACTTAGGTGGATTTTGGGGAATTGGGGGACACTGGGGGATTTGGGGACATTGGGGAGGGATTTGGGGACATTTGGGTGGATTTGGGGTGATTTGGGGACATTTTGGGGGATTTTTGGGGGATTTAGGTTGGATTTTGGGGAGATTTGAGGACACTGGGGGATTTTGGGGAGGGGCCACTCAGGGTCACTGGGGACTTTGGTGCCCCTCGACTCTCCAAATCCTCCTGAACCCCCCAAAAGGTGGCGGTGATCGTGGGGAACTTCTGAGCTGGGGGAGCTCATCAAGAACCACTGACTCTGACGTGGACGTCCAGAATGGGGCCTAGAGGGTCTAGTGGATTTGTGGGACCTGGGGGATCTGGGGGAGTCCAGATTTGGGGCCAGTCTGGGGAGGTCTTGGGGATCTAGAATTTTGGGGCTTGGGGGGTCTTTGGTAAGGGATCTGGGAGCCTTAAAGGGCACTTAGAGACTTGGGGGATCTGGGCTTTGGGGGACTTTGATGGGCCTGGGGTCTGGGGCTCTTTGATGACTTAGTCAGGCTTTTCAGTCAGACTTTGAGGATCTAGCCTAGAGAGCCTAGGGGATCTTGAGTGGGCCATGGAGCTCAGACTTTTCTAAAGACTCCAGTTTGGGGTGGGATTAGAGATTTGGGGGTTTTGGGAGATTTGGGGGATTTGGGGATTTTGGGGTTTTGGGGGGATTTGGGGAGTTTGGGGGAATTGGGGGAATTTGGGGGAGTTTGGGGGGATTTGGGGGTACATGATTTGGGGGATTTGGGAAGGTTTGGAGAGGATTTTGGACACTGAGGGGGATTTGGGGGATTTGGGAGAATTTAGGAGGATTTGGGTCTTTGGGGGATCTAAAGCTTTTCTAGGGAATGAGATTTGGGGGTTTTGGAATTTTTTTGAGGGGATCTGGGGGACTTGAGACATTGGGAGGGGTCTTGGGGAGCTTTGGGGGATTTGGGGGCTTTGGGGGGATTTGGGGTTGGAGGGATTTGGGGGTTGGGGCTTTTGGGGGTGCTGGTTTTGGGGGGATCTAGGGAGTTTAGGGGGATCTTGATGGGGCCTGGGGGCCTAGACTTGGGGTCTGGGGACTTCAGTGATCTAGGAGGGCTCAGGAACCTGGGGCCTTGGTTCTTGGGGGGCCAGCGGCTTTGGGGGATCTGTAAAGCCTAGGGATTTGAGGACCTGCAGATGACCTGGGGGTCTTGGGACATCTTGAGGACTCAGAGACACTGGGATGGCCTAAAGTCTGTGGGGACCTTAAAGCACTGGGGCCTTGGGAGTGAGATCTGGGGCCTGGGGGCCAGACTTTGAGGACTGTGGGACTTAGTGATCTGTAGAGTCCTAGGGATCTGAGAGCCTGGGCCTGGGACTTAGGCTTGGTCTTTTGGGGGGTTTGGGGCTTTTGGGGATTTGGGTGAGTTTAGGGGGATTTTGGGGGGATTTGGGGGTTGGTGGGGATTTGGGGGGATTTTGGGGGGTTTTGGGGGATTTGGGGGGATTTGGGGATTTGAGACATTGGGAGGGGTTTGGGGTTTTTTTGGGGGGATTTGGGGTTTTGGGGGTGGGATTGGTTTTTAGGGGTTTTGGGGAAGGTTTGGGGGATTTGAGACATTGGGGGATTTGGGGGATTTGTGGGGGTTGGGAGGGATTTGGGAGCCCCCAGCTCGCCATCAGAGCTCCCAAACCCCCCTTAACCCCCCATCCCCCAGTTCCGTTCCAGGAGAGCCCCCAGGCCCCCAAATCCCCTTTAACCCCTTTAACCCCCCCAAACCCCTCTAATCCTCCCAAATCCCTCTAACCCCCCCAACCCCCCTGTCCCCCCAGTTCCGTTCCAGGAGAGCCCCCAGACCCCCAAATCCCCTTTAACCCCTAAACCCCCCAAACCCCTCAAATCCCCCCAAAGCCCCTCTAAACCCTCTTTAATCCCCCAATCCCCCAATTCCCCCAACCCCCCGTCCCCCCCAGTTCCGTTCCAGGAGAGCCCCCAGTTCACCACCAGACCCTCAAACCCTCCTAAATCCCTCAAACCCCCCAAATCCCTCTCTAACCCCCCATTCCCCCCAGTTCCGTTCCAGGAGAGCTCCCAGACCCTCCAAATCCCCTCTAACCCTTCTAAACCTCTCTAACCCCCCCAAATCCTCCTCTAACCCCCCCAATCCCCCCAGTTCCGTTCCAGGAGAGCCCCCAGTTCGCAACCAGAGCCCCCAACCCCCAAACCCCTCTAAAACCCCCCAAATCCCTTCTAAACCCCTCAAATCCCCTCAACCTCCCCTGTCCCCCAGTTCCGTTCCAGGAGAGCCCCAGTTCACCACCAGACCCCTCAAATCTCCAAAACCCTCTCCAAACGCCCCTCTAACCCCCTAAAACTAGCTCCCAAACCCCTCAAATTCCTCAAATCCCTCTTCACTCCCCAAATCCTCTCTAACCTCCAAATCTCCCTAACCCCCATCTCCCCCAGTTCCGTTCCAGGAGAGCCCCCAGTCTCGCGGGCGGCGCCGGAGGGTCCCCGGGTCTCCCCTGCTCCCCAGCGGCTCCTGCGGGCCAACAGCGACACGGGGGCCCTGCCCGAGTGGGTCCTGCGGGGACTCCCCGAGCCCCCTGCGGCCGCCTCTCCCCGGCCCCCGCCCGACCCCCTCGGGCACCCTGAGGAGCTCCAGCTCACCCGGGGGCACGGGCCAGGGTCCCCATCCCGGGCAGGCACCCTGAGGAGCCCCGGAGACAGCAGAGGGGAGGCCCAGGTATGGGGGAGGGATTTGGGGGGTTAGAGATGATTTTTGGGGGGTTTGGGGTTAGAGCTGGTCCCCATCCCGGGGCAGGCACCCTGAGGAGACCCGGAGACAGCAGAGGGGACGGCCCAGGTATGGGGGAGGGATCTGGGGGCTTTAGAGATGATTTGGGGGAGTTTGGGGGTCTAGAGGGGATTTGGGGGTTAGAGCTGGTCCTCATCCAGGGCAGGCACCCCGAGGAGACCCGGAGACAGCAGAGGGGGAGGCCAAGGTATGGGGGAGGGGTCTAGAGGGGGTTTGGGGGTTTCATTGGGGTTTGGGGGGTTTGGGGGTTAGAGCCGGTCCCCGTCCCGGGGCAGGCACCCTGAGGAAACCCGGAGGCAGCAGAGGGGAGGCCAAGGTATGGGGGAGGGGTCTAGAGATGATCTGGGGGTTTGGGGGATTTGGGGAGTTTGGGGGTTAGAGCCGGTCCCCGTCCTGGGCAGGCACCTCGAGGAGCCCCGGAGGCAGCAGAGGGGAGGCCAAGGTACCAGGGAGGGGTCTAGAGGGGATTTGGGGGTTTAGAGATGATTTTGGGGATTTGGGGGATTTGGGGGTTTGGGGTTAGAGCTCGGTCCCCATCCTGGGCAGGCACCCCGAGGAGACCCGGAGACAGCAGAGGGGAGGCCCAGGTATGGGGGAGGGGTCTAGAGGGGGTTTGGGGGGTTTTATTGGGGTTTGGGGGATTTGGGGGTTTGGGTGGGTTAGAGCCGGTCCCCGTCCAGGGGCAGGCACCCTGAGGAGCCCCGGAGACAGCAGAGGGGACGGCCCAGGTATGGGATTAGGACATTTTGGGGTCTAGAGATGATTTAGGGGGTTTGGGGGTTTCATTGGGGTTTGGGGGGGTTTGGGAGTTAGAGCCGGTCCTCATCCGGGGCAGGCACCCCGAGGAGCCCCGGAGACAGCAGAGGGGGAGGCCAAGGTATGGGGAGGGGTCTAGAGAGGGTTTGGGGGATTTGGGGGTTTAGAGATGATTTGGGGGGTTGGGGGTTTGGGAGGCTTGGACCTGGTCCCCATCCAGGGGCAGGCACCCTGAGGAGCCCTGGGACAGCAGAGGGGACGGCCCAGGCATGGGGGAGGGGTCTAGAGGGGATTTGGGGGTTTTATTGGGGTTTGGGGGGTTTGGGGGCTTGAGCCGGTCCCCGTCCCGGGCAGGCACCCTGAGGAGACCCGGAGGCAGCAGAGGGGACGGCCCAGGTATGGGGGGACATTTTGGGGGGCTTGGGGGGGATTTGGGGAATTTGGGGGTTTGGGGGGTTTGGGGGCTAGACACAGTCCCAATCCCGGGGCAGGCACCCTGAGGAGACCCGGAGACAGCAGAGGGGACGGCCAAGGTATTGTGGGGGGATTTGGGGGTCTAGAGATGATTTGGGGGATTTGGGGGATTTGGGGGGTTTAGAGATGATTTGGGGGATTTGGGGGTTTCATTGGGGTTTGGGTTAGAGCCGGTCCCCATCCCGGGCAGGCACCCTGAGGAGCCCCGGAGACAGCAGAGGGACGGCCAAGGTATGGGGGAGGGGATTTGGGGGATTTGGGGGGATTTGGGGGTTTCATTGGGGTTTGGGGGTTTGGGGGTTAGAGCCGGTCCCCATCCCGGGGCAGGCACCCCGAGGAGCCCCGGAGACAGCAGAGGGGGAGGCCAAGGTATGGGATTGGGACATTTTGGGGGGGTCTAGAAGGGATTTGGGGGTGTTTCATTGGGATTTGGGGGGTTTGGGGGATTTGGGGGATGGGACCCCAGGGGCAGGCACCCTGAGGAGACACGGAGACAGCAGAGGGACTGGCCCAGGTACCAGGGGAGGGGATTTGGGGGTCTAGAGATGATTTTTGGGGGATTTGGGGGGTTTCATTGGGGTTTGGAGGGATTTGAGGGGGATGAGACCTCGGGAGCGCCCGAGGAGCCCTGGAGGCAGCAGAGGGACGACCCAGGTATGGGGGATTTGGGGGGATTTGGGGGTCTAGAGATGATTTGTGGGGGTTTCATTGGGGTTTGGGGGTTTTGAGGGGATTTGGGGGATGAGACTCTCAGGAGGGGTAGCTTTGGGAGAGTCTAGAGGGGCGTTGGGGGTTTAGAGGGATTTGGGGGATTTGGGGGGTTTGGGGGTTGAGGGAATGGGACCCCTGGGGAGGCACCCGAGAACCCCGAGACAGCAGAGGGGACGGCCCAGGTATGGGGGACATTTTGAGGGGGTTTGGGGGTTTAAAGATGATTTGGGGGAGTTTGGGGGATTGGAGGAGTTTAGGGGGATTTGGAGGAATTTGGGGGATGGGACCCTCGGGGAGGCACCTCAAGGAGCCCCGGAGGCAGCAGAGGGGCTGGCCCAGGTATGGGGGATTTAGGGGGTCTGGGGGGTTTCATTGGGGTTTGGGGGTTAGAGTCGGTTCCTCGGGGCAGCGGTTTTGGGGTCTCTGGGGAGGGGTTTGGGGTTTCTGGGGGATTTAGGGGTTTCTGATGGGATTTAGGGGGTCTCAGGGAGGGGTTTTGGGGTCCCTGGGGGGGTTTAGGGGGTCCCTGGGGGGTTT